AGCTAACTTTACCTTCAGCCATTGCGATAGGTTCTACAGCTCTGGCACTGGTACTCGCTTCCTTTAATTTCTCTAAAAGAAGATAACGCGCAGAAACCATTAAAGGAGGAATGCACTCCGATTCACACATCTCTCGGAATTGCCCTCCGAATGGGAAAAATACTTGTACCTGTGCTGGAATCTATTGGAGCGACTGTGGTAGGGGGCTTGAGTTGAACTCTGATCTCTCTAGCAGGCCTAGCACTGACATGCTCATTAGCTGAATAAAACCTGGCTCCTCGGTAAGCATAAGTTCGGGAGAAGAGGGTCCATATGGAATTTTTCCTTCTTCATGGTCCCCTATGAAAATAAATTGCAAAATGTGTTCAAAAAATCTAAAAATAATGCAGTGGAAGAAAGGTGAAGACGAAATATTACCTCTTTCCTCAACAGGAATATTGTGGGCCGGCTCCTCTTCCATTACTGGCAAAGGGGTACATCGTCAGTGCACGACCATCTTAGTCCTTTTTGACGGACGAACTTCTCCCAGAGTATCAGATCTCTCATGGCGATATTTTGTGCGCAACTCGGCTTTTGGAGAAACTTGAGCTTGAACTTGAGCCTAAGTTGAAGATCAAGATCTCTTTCTATGAGTAAGGGGCATTGTATCTTCTTCCTCTTCATCTCCACTAAGGACTTCCACTGTCATCTAATTGGTAGATGTTAGAACAACCTTCTCCTTCATTCTTTTTGGATCTTTCGGTGATTTAGGCAAGTTAGCATGATGGGTCCTATGAGCAACAGGTGAGCTCTCACGTTCCTTTGGAGAGAAAGAAGATGGAAGACCCGATGCACCTTCCTCATCACCACCTATAAATTCAGCATCCTCAGCCCTACCTTCCTTCCTTTTTCTCTCTTTTCTTTTCTTTTCCTTCACTTTACCTCAAAGCAAACATAGCTGAAACGTATTCAGGAGAGAAAAATGCTTTTTTTTTATCGAAAAACAGGGGTAAAACCCCGTTCATTAAAATATCAAGAATCCAAAAGATTGTTTAGTTACAAAAGTAAGACACGAACTGTGTCCAAAATGTTGGAAAATAGAAAATGAAATTTCTACTAGTAGTGATGTATAACTTTCTTCTTCCAAAGATCCATGAAGATGAAGAGAGGGCCTTGCCGTCATTCACCGTTGACACAGATTTATGGAAGAACCAAAGCCAGCCATACATGTGCATAGTAGAAATTTAATTTTCTATAGTCAACACATGAAAGATAAAGGAACAGATATATACACAACAAAAACTATAAAAAAGATGACTCAAAAAGTTCTCCATCTTCAGACACTTGCTCGAGAGAGAGGAAATTCTTCAAATCTAGCAGAGAGTTCCTTTGCCGCAACACCTCTTCCATTATCTGACCAATCATATAAGCCATAAACCGACTGATTAATAATCTTCTTGTAAGAAAAAGTAGTTTTGTCAAAAATTGATTTATTCCTACTGATCCAAATGTTCCAACAGATATATGAGAAAAAGCTACGCCAAATATAACCAACTCTACCATGAAGCTTATTAACAGTTAATAAAAGATCTTCAAAAGATGATGGTCATGGGAAAGGGAGATAGTAATTCTTGAAATGTGTCCAAACTTGTGCAGATAATGAGCAGGAGAAAAACAAATGGTCTCTGTTTTCCTGATGAAAGCCACAAAAGATACACATTGGATCTCCTGTCCATCCTTTTAGCAAAAAGAAAAAAAATGCTTATTAATGGAGGGAAATTGTCTTTTCCCCTTCGCCCCATCATAAGCACCTAAAATCAAGTGTAACCATTACTAAAAGGTGCTCAATATAAGATATGCAATATTAGTTGGAAAAGTATGTGGATTTATGATAATAAGATTCAAATTTTATATAGTATTGGTGACAGAATTGTTGCATTTGTTCTTTAATAGCTAATTTTTTGGGAATAACAATTCATCAAAAGCCTTTGAATTTTTTTAGATCATTAATGACATTTTAAATTTTAATTTCATGTTTGTAGGATAATTTATCTTCTCACGGTCAAATTTTTCATCAATGTATTTAATATAACCACAAGTTATTATTTCTAATTTAAATTATTTTTTGTTAACCTCTTCAACAATCATTTATTTAAATAATAAAATTGACAATGTTTTCTGGTACGGATGGATGCAAATTCTAATGAAATTTTATCTTAATCTTAATATAATAATTATTGGAAACTTCTTTTTTACTTTCGATAAGGATAAATTTGGTATTTCAAAAAAAATAAAAGAGACTAACCCCGTTAATCCTCCATTATCATCAAACACGAAAAGTTAAACCTTCATATTAATTATCTAATTCAAACAAAATTATATTATTTTTAACCATTCATAAAGGATTAACTAAGTTAATCCTAGGGGTGTGCAACGGTCGGTTCGGTTCGGTTTTTACCAAATTTTGAACAACCGAACCGAACCGCTTAGTCGGTTCGGTTCGGTTTTTACCAAATTTTGAACAACCGAACCGAACCGCTTATAAATCAAAACCGAACCAAACTGCTGCAAGTCGGTTCGGTGCGGTTCGGTTCGGTTTGTTCGGTTCTAACTTCATCAAACTTCTTATCAAACAATAAACTGTGTTAAAAAAAGATATCAACAAAGTAGGAGATTATGAAGCATTAAACACTGATATAATGATATTATTTTCAACCCATAATGATTCAGAAAATGAGTTTAGGGTTTGAGTCTTTGACTCTTTTGGGACGGGTCAGGTAGGGTTTGAAATCAGAATGGGTAGTATTACACTATATTCGATCGGTTCGGGTCGGTTCGGGTCGGTTCGGGTTGAAAAGTTTTCAAACCGACCCGAACCACCCCACTCATAAAACCGATTTTTTCGGATCGGTTCGGTCGGTTTTTTCGGTTTGGACCGAACCATGCTCAGCCCTAGTTAATCCTTCTCAATAACCCTCGTCTCTAAACCCCTTGCCAAATGAGGATATTTTAAAATTTAGAAGTGTGATATTTTTCACAAATAGAAATAGTTTATGATATTTTCTTTGCAAAATCCATAAATTTATACTATTGTTTATTGAAATTTACCATGGAAAAAAGATTATGTCCCATACATCATTGCTTGAGTTGAACAATGATAGGAAGTATATAGTTAACTACTGATACCTTCATTTCAAAAAATGACAAAATATACATCTTTATGAACATAAAGTCATCTTGTATAACAGCACTGCTTCGTAATCCATTAAATTTTAATTTCAAGCATTCGAGAGGATATATAATGTTGTGTTTGGGAGCTATGGAAGGAAAGGAAGGGTAGGGAGAGAAAGGAAAATTTTCAATTTTCTCTTTCCTTTTTAATTTGGGGTGTAAGATTTTAGTGTAAAATTTCCCCTCATTTCCCTCCTCTATCCTCCCTATAAAACTCCCAAATAAGGTTAAACTCATATTTCTCTTCCCCTTCCCTTCTCTACCGTCCATCCAAAGACAGCAAACACAGCATTATAATGATTGGCAAGATAAATTAAAACAAAGACCACTCTGTATGAGCCGAGTTCATTAGTAGATGAACAAGAGTGCGATCTAAAAATTGGAAGAGAGAATTGGGAGCAAGTATATATATTGAAGTGGTAACCAAGAGCTAATGAATAATGACCAACAGAATGTCCGAAACTCAACCCGAAAAACCCGTAAGTTACATTGATCATTGAGTACTTTACATGTATCACATGTACACACCACAAGCTCCAAATCACATCGTAATCGAGTAATTTACGTTTATCACATTTACGTATCAAGAGCTCAAAATATCACCACCATGGCTCCTCAATAGCAGTACAAAAACCACTGTAAGGCCTGAAAAACTACAATAATATCGCCACCTCCGCATGAGGACTAGAATAACTCTATCCAGTCAGCAGTCTAATACATCAGCATTTCCTGCACGAAGAAGAAATAAAAAAATTCGAGCAAAATGGTGGCGATGCAAAATAAAGCATGGTATGTTGCACCTTCCTCTTTATACACAACAGATAAAGAGATAATCTAGTAAATAGCAGAAAATAGAACAAGATATCTTAAATATCTTTTTACTTATTGCAAATCTCATATTCCTCTGACCAAATGACTGAATCAAAAACATCATACAAAGATCATACTGACCTGTATCTTGAAGCACTTTTTAGTTTTCTGCAATTAGCTTGCCAATCTAAATAATATCGAAAGCGAAAGTGAGAACACCAAAACCAAAAAGCATCTACACATCTCCCATAAGCCCATGACAACAAATAAATAGAAGATGAATCAGTTCCCTACAAGAACAATAATACCATTTTGAGACTAAAAATTTCATATTTCTATCTATAGTAAACAATCAAATATGAAACAGCTAACAAGCTACATTTCAACCTTAGACAAGGTCAACAATAAACCAAATGCTATGAAGCCTAGTCCATTGACAAAGCAAGGTGTTTGATTTGGAAGGTTTCAAGTTGGACTGTCAGGTTTGCTCACGCAGCATTCCAAATGCCCTTATAAATACTTATGAGAACTATTATTTGACAATTTATATTTAAGGTCTCTAGCTAGGGGTGCATTCGGTCCGGATTCCGCTCGGATCTGATGCTTACCATATTCATATCCGCTTACCCATCTCGGATACAGATATACCTCGGTAAAAAAATTTATATCCATATCCGCTAAAATCGGATATGAGAAAACTTGATAGTATTGAGAAAAATATAGTTCATGTGATACAAAAAAGTTCATTAATATGTTCATTATAACTGAAAAGTTAAGATTAGATATCTTGATCATCAAAATTAACCACAAATCCATAATCTAAGAATCGAAACTATAAAAGTTAAGATTAGATATCTTGATCATCAAAATTAACCACAAATCCATAATCTAAGAATCGAAACTATCATAAGAGTATGACTAAATCAAAATTAACCACAAATCCATAATCTAAGAATCGAAACTATCATAAGAGTATGACTAATATGTATTCACATATTTCCAACATGGATATTTCACTACAAAACCATATATGTAACTATATCCTATCGGTTATAGATTTGAGTAACCATATCCGTATCCTAACGGATACGGTTACAGATATTTCCTCGGATATGGATATGGTTTAGCACCCCTTATCTCCAGCACATAACTTCTTACATGTCTTCCTAGTTTATTTTGCAATCATGCCCGTCCACGAGAGAATAGCTAAAGGATATTAGTAATTGAAAGCATTAGATGTAAAATAAAATAAAAATCCGTATGTTTTAAATATTTTTAAGAATGTTTTTGGTGCATGAAAAGCCACATAACCATCTGTGTGGATTATAAGCTTTAGCATAAGCTTAATTCAACATTCTTGGAAATTTGGGTCTCCATCAGCATACATAATTTTTTTCATACCCGAAAGTACAATACCCTCAAATGATAGGGGGTATGCTTCATGTGGAAATGGGAATCCATTCAAAATAAAATCTCATTTCTCAAGCATATGTTCTTTCTTTACAATTTTTTTTTCCTTATGTATCTTTTGCTGTTATGATTATCACTCATCTGCCACTTGCTACCATCACAAACGCAATCGTTTTTAATGTGCTCATCACATGTGCAATCACACAACCAACACTTGCTCAAATGCCGCAATCAACACCAATGCCACTACTTGCACTTCTACCATTACAATCACTGATGCCTTCATTGAAATTGAAAACATTTAGGTTGGTATTAAACCTAAGTAAACTATGTAGCTGTAAAGATTATTTCAGGTCTTATGTGTAATTTAAACTAAAGGAGTTAAAAGACTATGTAGACTGCTTGGACCACTCTTACTTTGGAAGGGCATGCAAAGGAAAGATACTTGGCTTCTTTTGGAGTGCAAAGATAACATGGTTTCTTTTTTACTGTTTGGAAGTGCAAGAAAAGTAAGTCTGTGGAGCTGAAGCTGAAAGTAAACTAGTAGAAGTTGCTCAAAGGAGCACAAAAATAGTGTAGTTACAATACAGTATGAAATGAAGATGTCCAGGAACCGGGTGTTCACAACAGCAAATACTAGCAGTTGGAGGATGTAACGTGAATTATACAGTTTCATTTATGGTTTATGGAGGCTCACTTCATAGGCCTAAGCTCTTCCTAACTGGAAAGATTGCAAAAGTTTAG